CAGGCGAGGCGCTCGAGCTGGCCAGCCCCGCCCTCCTGGAGAGGGGCCTCAGTCCAGCGGACTCCGGTGCCGGACCACCCCTCCATCGGGGCTGCGCTCGAGGTGGGAGATTCACCCGGGACCTAGGTAGAGGAACAGGCTTAGAGGTAGAGGAGAGGGGGAGAGAGAGAGAGACAGAAGGCAGGGTTTCGCCAACCCCATGGCATGCCACCATCTGGTCCTCCACCAGTTGAATGGCCTGGTTCAGCGACGCCGGCCGGTGGCACTGGACCCACTGCGCGGTGTTCTTCGGTATCCGCGCGATGAACTGTTCCAGCACCACGCGATCGATGATCTGGTCGACGTCGCTTCCCCCGGCCAACAGCCATTTGCGGCACGCATCCCGGAGCTGCTGAGCCATCGTGAAGTGCCGGCCATTTTCCCCCAGCTCTAGCGATCTGAAACGCTGGCGGTGTTGTTCGGGGTTCAGGCCGACCCGCTGGAGGATGACTCATTTGAGGTCATCATAGACCAGGAGGTTCTGAACTGGCAGCTGTTGTGCAGCCATCTGTGCCTCCCCCGAAAGCAGTGGAATGAGACGCACTGGCCAGTTCGTCCGGGGCCACCCACATGCCTCCGCGGTCCTCTCGAAGAGGTCGACGAAGGCCTCCGGATCATCCTGTGGGCCCAACTTGTGGCTCAAAGGCATGTGGGCTGGCAGGTCCGGGGCGGCTGGACTTCCCCCAGCCCGAACCTCCTGGTCCATCCAGCTCCGGAACAGCTCACGGTCCTCTTGCTGTGTCTGGACGAGGGCCCGGAATTGACGTTCCTGATCCTCCCTCAGGTCCAGCAGCGCTTGATGGTGCTCTTGATGGAGTCCCGCGAGTGAGTGGATGACCTCCGCAAACGGTGAACTTGACGGAGATGACATGATGGCGGCGGCGTTATCACTTCCTTCCCGGGTTTCGGCACCAGTGTAACAAGAGTTTAGAGTAAGGAAGGAAGTAACGAAGGTTGGCGTTTGGAGACTCGTGTAGCTTTATTCAGTAACTAAAAATTCTAGAAAACAAAAGTAGTGCCCTCAGCGCGTTCACACAATGTCAATTGCACAAATCCAGTTTCTCAGGTTTCTCTCCCAGGCAGGGCAATGTGCATGAGTCTCCGTCCCGTCTCTCTCTGCCACCACGTTCTCCAGTCGCTCTTTTAACCATTCTCTCCAGGCCAATTACTGCAATCAAACACAGGTGTTCATCATTTTGCACTTGACCTACTTACTCACCGCTCATCTCCCGTCCTTCTCTCCCGCTGCAGACTTCGCTGAACCGCGCCCCCCTTGCCACAGTTACTAACATAACCCTTGTTCTCTGAGATAATGGAACAATCATTTGGTAGCATGCCGTGAATCATGATTTGCCCTTAAAATCATTTGTATGCACATTTCATGCAAAAATTTGTATCTACGCATGCTTAGTAAATGAGACATTGTTTGTGTGGTGCACACTTGCCCATATGGTTAATCTGTCCATGTATGGAGTCTCATTCATTCTTATGAGACTTATGATGATTAAATGTCAATTAATAACAAATCAGTGACGGTAAAATTCCTAAATAATTGTTGATCTTTTATTTCAAGACCCTAATTTAAAGAAACATGTCTTGGAGTGATCTCTTCTACCCTGGAAATCCCCAAAGAAGGGAAAGGCTTATCCGCAAAAGTCAAGAGCTTCGAGAATTGATGAAAAACAACTTCCGAGCAACCAACCAACTCATTGAGGCTCTTAAGGAGCACTTAGGCTTGTCCTTTAGGCGAGTCGTCTTGAATGAGAAAGATACTGTGAAGGAGAACTGTGATGTAATCATTGAACGCATACGTGAGATCCAGGCAGAAGTCAAGAAGATTGACCAGCAGATGAAGGCGAAGCTGGAACCGACGCTGTATGAGAAACTGAAGAACATGTCTCTGTCTGTTCCTGACTATCAACTATTCTCAGGAGTTGTTAGTGCAGTTTGTGGCATTACAGCCCTTGCCTCCATTGTTCTAGTTGCCTGGCTAATTACAAATGGATACATTCTGACAAACATTACACTGACCTTTGGTTTAATTGGAACAGGGATTATGGCCACTGTTGTAGTTGGGGTGTTATTCATGGGGATCGGTATGATTATTGGCGCCATCCTAGGAGGTATTGAACGTGATCAACTCGAGAGGGCCCTGGAAGAGTATGACAGGGCTTTGGAAGAATTCAGGCCAGCGTCTGAAAAATATCAGGATAGTATAACCTATGTCAGGATAAGACTTGCGATGAGTCAATAAGCAGAAAATTACATCCACAATGTGATTTGTTCCTATTTTACAATTGTGGATGTATTTTTTTCATGAGTGTTATATAGTAGTAGTAGTAGTAGTAGTATACTTTATTGTACTTGAGAGGAAAATTGTTGTGGACTAAATGTTGCTGCAGACATACAATAAACAGATAATAATAACAATAAAAACAATGATAAAAAGAAAACCTCAAAATAAGATCAAGAAAAACTCTTGTTAAACAAACACACCAATGCAGGTACAAAGGAAGTATTATATTGATTTAACTTACACATTGGGATTCTATATCTTCTACCAGAGGGAAGCAGTTCATACTGTAAATATAAGAAATGAGTCTGATCACCAAAAATCCTCTCTACCTGATTGAGAACGCATTCATCATATAAATCTTGAAGGTTAAAATGTTTGTCATGCCCAACAATTCTCCATGCTGTCAATAACAGGTGCATCAACTTAGATTTATACTGTGCTGACACGTTACCAAACCATACTGTGATACCATACCTAACAATACTTTCTAAAACAGCTTTATAAAACAGCAACATAAGATTCTTGTTTACTCCATAGAGACGTTAACTATGCAACAAATACAATCTCTGTTGTATTCGAGTGCAAACCCATTCAATGTGTGTTTTCCATGTAAGTGAACTATCTATGTAAACGCCCAAATACTTATAGGTCTGTGACTGGATAATATGATGATCATGTATAACCACATGACGATGGTCACCTATACATTTTGAGGCCAAAAAAATCTCTTCCTTTTTCTTTGTATTTATTATTAGCTCATTTTAATCACACCGGTCAACAAACTGACTTATTTCTGACTGATAAATAGTGCTAATTGTCATGCACATATAGTAAACTTAGTATGGCTGTCATGAATATTTAAAAATATAATTTTGTGAATGCCTATTTAAGCATTCATTTGTAAAAAGTGTAAAGAGAATGGGTGAACTGACCCAGCCTTGTGGAACACCTTTACTACTGCTCTTTTGATGTGAAAGAAAATTGTTTACCTTTACACATTGAGTTATCTGTTAAAAAAAGAATAGTACTACTTAATAATACATGGGTTTACACTCAGCTGCTTCAGCTTATCAATTACCAAATGAGGTTGAATCGTGTTAAAAGCAGAGCTAAAATCAATAAACAAGCATAAGCTTTAGGATCTTCTAAATGCTTCAAAATCAAGTGCATAATGCTGGTAATAGCATCTTCAGTTGCTCTCCCTTGTCTATAGGCGAACTTTAAGGGGTCTAGATTACTAGCGACCTCTGCTTTTAACATAGATAAAACACACTTTTCAAAACATTTCATAATCACAGATGATAATGCAACCGGTCTAATATCATTATTCTCTAAAGGCCTAGCTATCTTAGGAACAGGTATAATCAATTTTCTTTTCCACAAACTGGGAACAATACCTGAATCCAAGGATTGTTGAAATATAGGAAGCCAAGCTGGAGTCAGTTCATTTGCACAACATTTAACAATATGGGGAGAAATTCCATCTGGGCCTGCCGATTTCTTTGAACAAATATGTTTTTTAAACAGAAGTTAATCTGATTCGGATCAATCAATAACTTATCTTTAATAATATCTGAAAAAGACTCCATTACACCAATACTATTCTCAGAAATATGCCCACACTTCTCAGATCATAGATAAAAGTCATGTAAATCATTCACTTTATGTAAGTAATCAAGAAAATAAACTGTATTTCTGAAAGACTGCATATTAGTTATAAATTTCATAGAGTCCCATAGCTGTTTAGGGTTAGACATATACAGTTTTTTCTCCAGTAGTTCTTTATGTTTCTTCCTGGCATCTGTTAATAGTCCATTCAACTCCTTCTGAACAAATCTTACTTCAAGACTATCATGATTGCGAAAAGCCAGTTTCTTCCTGTTAATACAGTCTTTGATCTCCTTTGTTATGTAGGGTTTATTGTTGGCATAAATGATCACTTCCTTTTTTGGTATCACATTATCGGTGCAAAATTTTATATAATCTGTTATTACCGTGGTAGTTTCATCAATATCATCGCTATGGAAAACTTACCAATCAGTACAAAGAAAACAGCCTCTCAAGGCTTCAACACTGTCTTTGTCCTTTGACCACACATTAACATTTTTTACCAAGGGTTTGTGTCTCTTCAACAGAGTCTTATATGTCAGAATTAAAAACACAGTGTTGAGATCAGAGTTTGATAGAGGAGGCCTTAGTCTGGACGTGTATGGCTCTTTTATGTTCCCATAGCATTTATCTAAGACATTTTTACCTCTTGTGTCGTCTTTAACATACTGTTCATACCCGGAGAGAACTGTCTCTAATTTACAATGGTTAATATCACCAAGAATAAAAACCGGCGCTCCTGGTGTACCTTGAAGTTGGGTTTGAATACAGCCTCCTATAATGCACTCAAATCTTTTAGGTGTTTGTTAAATGCTGTATCTAAATCTGCCTGCTACAGTCTCTCTGAATTCAACGAAATAAACAGTTTAAAAACATTAACCAGTGATTCCTCAAGTTTTTTCATATGAAATAAACATTGTCAATGCAAAAGTTCAAAACCTAAAGGTTTCAATCAAATTATGTCTTTTAAATCAGTAGTGTGATGTATTCAGGAAGCAACAAATAACAGTTGTGTTTATGTGCTGCTAAATGCAAGTGCTTTCCTCTTGACCAACAGAAGGCATCAGAATGCTGTCTGTGCTCTTTGGCAAGAAAGACGAGCTCAAGAAAGGAGAACTGATAAGGTACACCCAGACCCTCCACCACTATGTGCACAAATACTTCAACATCACCAACAGACTTTTAGAGATACTCAACGCTCACCTGAATCAAAGCCCTTCCCCTGCAGTGGAAGCAATTGAGAGTGAAAGCATTGAGAAAAACTGCGCCAGGGTGAGAGATGTTATGCGCCTGATCCTGGATGTTTCTGAGAAGGAGAACAAACATGTCCAAAAGGAGAAACATGATCTTTATGAGCAGATTGCCTTCTCTGGAGTGTCACTGAAGGACAAGGCTGCAGTGGTAAAGGATCTGCATCAGAAGACCATGGGACTCTTGGGGAACGTCTTCGGCCCTGTAGTCGCTGTTCGACTGGCAAACAGTGATCTGGGGAGGGTGATGCCTCCAGTGGAACAGAATGAATTTCAGCCTGTTCTGACATTTGCTCTGGGAGATCTAGTGCAGAGCAGTGCAAGAATCACTGAGCTCCTGTGTAGATCAAGAGAAAAGAGCGTGGATGAAGCCACACAGTTGGTGGAAGATGCCCTGTCTGTTCTGAAGACGCCCTGCGACTCCTACAATGACATTCTCTGTGAAGTGGAAGCCTACACCACCATCTTGTCTGAAAACATGTAAAGCTAACTTATGAAGACAGCCTTTTCTCAGAGAGCGCAGTAAAGGTTGTGTTGATAAATCCTCCAATCGTGTTTTTATTTTTTCAACCTTTTTTAAAATTATTTAATAGATTTAGTTTGTCTTATAATTATACGCCACTATTAATTCAGCTCACCTTGGCTGAGAAGATCCCAAGATTGTCATTTAGCCAAATTGTGTGGTTTATAAGTTTACAATTAATGGCAGAAATTAACTGTTCAATATATTGTAGATATTAAGTAAATATCTACGAACAATAAATTCCATGATATTTGTAAGAAAAATTTAGCTGATTTATCACAAGTTGTTCCTCATCATTAACATTTCTTGCTCTCTATACATCCATAAACTGAGAGGCTACTCTAATACATGTATATATTCAGGATTGAAATATGTTATCTCATAATAGTTACTTGTTTAGTGGAAAATATGGAAATATAGAAGTAGGTTTCTGCATAATTCTCTAAATGATGAAGTTAGTTAAAATGCCACTATTTATGTGTGTCAGGTGTTGCTGTGGTAAAGAGCTCATGACAAAAGAGAATTTAGAATCAAAAGTCTTATATA